TATGGAAATGAAAATGTGCTCAATGGGAAATTAGTTTCAACCACAACCTTTCCCCCCTTTGGAAAATGACCAGAAATTTCTCTCTCTCTCTCTCTCTCTCACACACACACACACACACACACACACACAAACACTGTATTTAAACCTCAGGTCAAAGTGCCTTTGAGTGGCCTATAAAAGTGTCTGACAAGAGATTTATCTATCAAGTGTTGATATAAAATACCCATAGGATAGGGGTGGAAGGACCAGCTTAAGATTCTTCTTTTACTTCCCAGCAAACTACACAAATATATTACCCAGCATGTTATTCATGGAAATTCACCTCTAGAGTAAAAGATGACTTGTTCAATATCCTAAGGAGAGGGGTATATATTATAATTTAATATACTTGGAAAGCAACTGCATACGAGGGGGCTTTGGGAACTTTGTGGAAATTCTTTATTAGCTTTTCATTTCATTTTCCACAAATGTTTTTAACTCCCCTCATACATTTGAGTCTCTATTTCACTGTCAATTGGGAATTCAAAACCAATCCCATTGCTGTTGATACCTATTCATTGTGACTGGTGTATTGCAGAATGGAACTGTGCAATTTAGGGTTTTCATGGCTGGGGCCTTTCGGAAGCAGATGGCAAGCTTTTCTTCCAAGGCCCCTCTGAGTATGTTTGCACCACCGACCTTTCGGCCAACATTTGAGCACTAACCACTGACTAAAGTGCACAGGAACAACTGTGAGTAGGGTGCAGGACCAGGCAGTATTTTGTTCTCATGTGCAGAGGGCTGATATGGGTCAGAACAGACTCGATGGCCCCTAACAGCAACAATAAATGGCCTCCACCCAGGCCTCCTGTTATTGGTGGTGTGCTGTGAAGTTGATTCCACTCATAGTAAAGCGATAGGGCAGAGCATAACTTCCCCACCGGGTTTGAGAGGCTGTAATCCTCAACTATAATATAGATTTCCGAAACAATGCACAAATCTATCTTGGAAGAAGTACAAGCAGAATGCTCCTTGGAAGAGAGAATAGTGAGACCTGGTCTCACATATTTTGAACATGCCATCAGGAGAGTTCATCCTGTACACTGGTACAGATAGGAACTGGAAATACAGGGAATCCAGGGTGGATGATCCCTACAGGACCAGTGGTGTGAGTGGCGATACTGGGAAGGTAGAGGGAGAGTGGGTTGGAAAGAGGGAACCGATTACAGGAACTATATGT